ACGAAAATTTTAAAAACTATATTAATAGATTATATGTCAGCTTCTAACATAATTGATTAATCTGTAAAAATTAGTCATAACTTTTTCAAAAGGAATTTAAGTCTCAAGACATAGTTACATCAAATAACGATTGGCGGTAAATATAGTCAATTAACATAGTAAATATTTGAGCTTATTTACTGTGTTGGGTAAGTATTTAAAAGACACATTTAGTTTTTTTTAATAGACCAATTAGCCAAAGTTGGAAAACGAAAAGATGCAAGTAATTTTATCTTATACTATGAGTATATTGATACCTAACTTGCTATGCTTATTTTAAGTTAAGTTTTTAACCCTGTTTTAATTAAGAAAATTTCGATTGTATAGAATGTTTTTTTCGTCTTAATATGTCGTGTCTTCTTGGAGATTAAATCCATAACCTTACTGAATTAATAATTATAAATTAACTACTATCATTTTGTAATACATATATATTTTCAGTAAATTTTAAATCATAATTTTTAAATAAAATGTAAAAAATTTTAACAATTAGTTGTATATTTTGTAATTCAATTATGATTAGCAGATGTAATTTTTTAATTTTTATAAATTTAACATTTCATAATATTTGAAATACATTTTAACTCGAGTGTAATTTAAATTTTAATAAAAAATATTTTATAATTCTAACTAATTCTAAATACGAATGTATTTATTTATTTTTATAGATAAATTACAAAAAGAATTTTAGGAGTTCAATAATTGTAGAGAGTAGAGTTTGAAAATGCTGCCTTTTAAACAGCTACAAACGTTAAATCAAACGTGGGATAAGTTCCATTCCGGGCCTTAAAATAGATAATACATTTTCTTTTTTGATAAATAAAATATATAAAACTTTATGGGAAAATATTTTGACATTATATACATAAATATTAAAAAAATTAATTATATCACCACTGAATGGATAGTTGTCTCTGTCATTTTTGTAGTCACATCATTGTCTATGGCGACGACAAAGTAAACAAAAAAATAAAAAAGATAATTTATAACAATATATCTTTTAAATTAAATAAAGATTAGGGTTTTATAAAATAATTATAATTTATTTTAAAAAATATTTTATAATAATTAAATTTATTTAAAAATATGTGCATATAATTGTATAAAGGCTTAATTATATATAATTATTTTATTTTAAAAATATATTGATAATATATTGTACATAATCTGCGGACATTTCTCTATCGACTTGAATTGAAAGGCGGTACAGAGGAAAAAAACAATAATAATAATAATACTGAACTGCCAATCCAACGGCTGACACCGACAACGCCGAGATGTGCTCTGACGTGGCAATCCCATACAGAGGCATCGGGAAAGATTCCCCAAATAAAAGTCATTAAAACGGACGGCTGAGATGAAAGATTAAAGCAGACCATCAGGATGGATCGCTCGCATCGGTGACATAAGATTCGGATTGTCGTAAGTTGGTGACCGTCACTGTAGCAGCTGTAGACGGCGACAAAATATATCACCACCCCAAACAAACTCTCGAAATCTCCAAGTTACTTCCACGAACCTTCTTTCTCTGGCATCTTCATTTTTCTTTTTGGCTGCTTTTCACTTTCCCGCTTGCTCTTTTTTTTTTTTTTTTTTTTTTTCCAAGTTCTTTTCTTTTTTCTTTTCAGAGTAAATCCATGTTGATTCTGTTATTCTCTTCGGAGCTTCTTTTTTGGAAAATTATTCTTCTGGTTATTCTGTAAATTACTTGAAAAGGGAGAGAGAAGACGAATAGGAGGAAGAAGGGGACGTTTTGTTGAGGTTCATGTCTGTGTTTTAAGAAATGGAAGTTAGAGAATCAAAATGATGTAATTCCTACAGTGTGTTTGTGTCTGCGTTAGTTTTTAATTTGTTTTCTTTCGTTTTCTTGGGAACCAAACGTTGTGGTGAGGGTGGTGAGGATGCAGGCGAAGTACGTGAAGAGATCCAATAGCATGGCGAGAGAGAAGAGAGGATTAGATTCGAGCTCCAGTGAAGAAGGGCAGCCTGATAGGAAACGGCCTGCTTTAGCTAGGTAAATATTTCCTTCACGTTACTTATTGTTCCAAATTCATCCTGAAGTTGAAGGGAACTTGGTTTTTCTTCCGTGGTAGTGGATAGTTTAATTGTTAATTCAACTAAGTAGTTGCTGGTTAGAGCTACCTGTGTATTCTTATAAACAGCATTACGTTAAATCTGACTTGTCAGCTTCATTGCTGTCTCTACTCTTTTCACTTCAACTGAAGTACAAAGTTTCTATGTACAGTGAAGCTTTGAGCAAGGAAGCATGCGATCAACTGGTATAGTCATGAGAATGTTCTGTGAAAGAGAAATAATTCTTTCCTGACTGTTTCCTGAACTTAAAACAGAAAAGGAAGAAAATAAGTTGGTCTTTTATTTGTTTCAAAGTTTTTGGACGTTCACTGATTATATAAGTCGAGTTCAAAAATAGTAGTATGATAATTTAAACTCATGAAGAGCAATTGGATGAAGTTTTGAGTTTTTGTTGCTTCAGCAGGTTTTTGTTTTTTCATATAATCCGCTATTCTCTTTAAGGCAAAGTCTTCCATTCATTTTCTGTATACTACTTCATGTGGCCATGAATTATATATGTTTTTCTAAGTTACTCAATTCTGATGCAGTGTAATTGTAGAAGCTCTTAAGGTGGATAGTCTACAGAAACTTTGTTCATCCTTGGAGCCAATTCTTCGCAGAGTTGTAAGTTTGATAAGTTTCTTATGCATTTTGTTTCTTTCCATGAGCTTTTGTGATAGTTGTCTTTGTTCGATTTAGCAAATCATATTAATTATGCTTTTTTGGTCAGTCAGAAAATAAATAATCCCTTTTCCATCCATATAGAGGATGTCTGTTTGACTAGTTCATGTTTTTAGCAAACCAAATGAAGACCGGAATGCATGTCTTGTCAGTTATTTTGGACAAGCATTTGATGCTTCAGATGTTTTCTTATTTTATTATCTTAATTCTAAACAGGTAAGTGAAGAAGTGGAACGGGCTTTAACAAAATTAGGCCCTGCAAAACTTACAGGGAGGTATGGCAACTAACTTCTCTCCCATAAAAAAAAAAAAAAAAAAAAAAAAGAAAAAGTTGCCTTTTGACTGTTTGGTGTTCCCTTGCTGGAACTTGTAGAACTTTTATTTTGAAGTTTGGTATGGGTGGTTGTGATGTTGGAATATGATCATTATCCTTGTTGTATCACCAACATTGATTCATCATTAAGATAAAAAGGCTAAAAATAACTTGTTTGCTACTTTATTTACCATCAAGATAAAACATTTTTTTTTTTTGAAATAAAACTATCAAGATAAAACATTCTAATTTTATTATCTTGATGGTAGGTTTTGTTCTAATATTTTGGAAATTAGATGTTCTAGCATTAAGTTGTTTCTAATATTTTACAAATTAGATGTGCTTTATATTGTCATTATTAGTGTCTACTTAAAATTTATGGTGATGTATTTTTTTCCTTTTCAAATAATAAGTGTAAAATGTATATTAATGAGCACCAAGAAGGTACTGCTCATATATACAATGTAGTAGTAGTATCTATGACATTTCTAAAATCATCGCACCTGTACATGTCATGACCTAACATCACTGATAATTTATGGTGATGTCTACCATCACTTGTCTGTCCATTCAACAAAATGCAGGTCTTCGTCTAAATGCATTGAAGGGCCTGACGGAAGAAACTTGCAGCTGCAATTTAGGTCCAGGTTGTCCCTCCCTCTGTTTACAGGAGGGAAAATCGAGGGAGAGCAGGGAGCTGTGATTCACATTGTCTTGATTGATTCAGGCACAGGCCATGTTGTCACCACTGGCCCTGAGTCCTCAGCAAAACTAGACGTTGTTGTGCTTGAAGGTGATTTCAATAATGAAGATGATGATAATTGGTCTCAAGAAGAATTTGAAAGCCATGTGGTTAAAGAGCGAGAAGGGAAGAGGCCGCTGCTGACTGGGGATTTGCAAGTGACTTTGAAGGAAGGTGTAGGAACACTAGGTGAATTGACATTTACTGACAATTCTAGCTGGATCAGGAGCAGAAAGTTCAGGTTAGGGGTGAAGGTTGCCTCAGGTTGTTGTGAAGGAATTCGTATTCGTGAAGCAAAAACAGATGCCTTCACTGTTAAGGATCACAGAGGAGAATGTCAGTTCTTACCTAATGCCAAACCTCTCTTCTTTGTACCTGTTTTTCCTTTCAATTTATGTACCATAGATTATTAAATTTTCACTCTATCGCAGTGTACAAAAAACACTATCCACCTGCATTAAATGATGAGGTTTGGAGATTGGAAAAGATTGGCAAAGATGGTTCATTTCACAAGAGACTGAATAAAGCTGGCATATTTACAGTTGAAGACTTTCTGCGGCTTGTAGTCAGGGATGCACAGAGATTGCGAAATGTAAGGATGTAGAATTTGGTCGGTCTATTGGAATTAATTAATATACTAATACCTTTAATTCTTTTCCTAATAAATTTGTTGCAGATTCTTGGAAGTGGAATGTCAAATAAAATGTGGGATGTCCTTATAGAGCATGCAAAAACTTGTGTACTAAGTGGGAAACTTTATGTGTACTATCCTGATGATGCAAGGAATGTTGGTGTTGTTTTTAACAATATCTATGAGCTGAGTGGGTTGATTGCAAATGGACAGTATTACTCAGCTGATTCTCTTTCTGATAATCAGAAGGTATATTATTCCTTATGTTCTCTTTCTTTCTTGACCATTGTGTATCTGATATTTTTTTAATACTATGTGGTGTTCTTTCCAAAGCCATTTCATGTTTTTCAAGCTTGCTTAAGAAGACATTAAATCAACATTCTGTTGTATGTGGATACAGCATACAAAATTATGAATAGCAATTTTTTTGTTTGGAAAAATCAGAATCATTACAAATTAAAAAGTTCCTTGAAAAACATCATGAAATAGCAATGGTCCAGATAAGCCGTAAATTAAATA